TTGAGATTTGCATGTGCAAGGTCACGGTCGAGTTTTGAAGGGAAGGTCATGAATTCTTAGACAACATGGACGGTTACAAATGACTAGATGATTGCTATTACTACATGGTATTGCCTCAGACGGGTACGCATCTTAGAAGGCGCATTGTGTTATGACTTACGGATGCTTTATTGGTATTGCGGTACTCGTCTGGTTGATCGACTGCTGATATTCAGATTTTACTATGTGGCGTGGAAGAATTATAGAAGTATTTCTCGTGGGGATGATTATGTACGAGGGATGTGTTAGTCATTCGGGTCATGGAGTTGGGATTGGCTATGGTGATTCAGGTGTTTTATAGATTAGGAGACTGGGAGTTCTAAGAAGCAGATTATTTTGGGGTTGCGGACTGTGAAGATGTGGCCAAAGTTAGCTAGATGGTAGTATGTACTATGGTTAGGTCATTGTACACTTTTGGAGGGCTAATCATCCATTTGGGGATGACCGAAGTTGATTTGAGGGCCCATTGGTAGGCCCAGTGAGGATGTGTATTCTACACCTAGTCGGATTTGTTGACTCAAAACTGTTTGTGTTGAGGGGTGTGGCATTTGGTCAGAGTGGAGCTTGTTCATGTCCCGATATGTTTTATGTGTTACTCTTTTATGCTACGAGAGATTGCGATTTATTGGTTATATACACACATGATGTGGTTTTGTTTGGGCCTTGTAGCAGAAATTGAGCGAGATGGTTATTGGGGAGTTGAATGGTAGATTGCGCCTTGGTTATGGTCTTCCCGGATTGCGGTATATTGTGTTATTTTCTTCTCCATGGATATGGTCATGCACTTCGTGTACTTGATGTCGAATTCCGTGTGGTTGTTGATTTTGAGCATTGTGGCTTGAAGTATTTCATATGACCCATGTTTGGATGGTGTCCTGTGTTGCCGTGGAGTTATGTTAAGATATGATCTTTTGAGTTAGATTCGTGTATTTCGGTTCTACTATGTGTGATGGGTTTGTAGCATTGCATTTGTGGTGGCACTTGTTGAGCTTGTAGGATGGTTCTCTCATTTGAATCATTTTCCATGTTTGAGTACATTGAATTGTTGCTTATTGGTGCACGGATTACATGATTTGTGGCTTTAGGTTGCGCTGGCGTGGCATGTCAATATAATGGTTGTGTCTGATAAGACGAGGTCATGAGACCTTGATGAATACTATTGGATTTAATTACTGTATGTTTGGAAGAATAATAACGGAAGTCAGCTTAGGATTTGGCTTTGGTTCTTGTTGGACGAGAGAGAGAGAGAGCTCCATGACTTGTTGATCTGATGAGTGGCAGTGAGTTTCTTCGTGTTTCTTTCATCATCGTCAATGTACAAAGGTTTTGAACAAGATTTTAGTTGATATGAGGTTTTTTACCGGGTTGGTTATCGAGCAGTTATTGCCGTCGAAAGTTATTGCTACGAGTATACAAGTTGTGTGGTATATCATGTGATTTCATCTTGGGCTATGGTTATGGCTTGATATAGCTTGTTCAGACTTAGACAGTGTGTAGATGCAAGATTCGGATCTTGTAAGGAATTCCAGATGTTGGAAATTGGATTCTAAGGTTTACGGACTAAGGTTGAAGTAGTGATCTCCAGTTATGTTGGATTATCATGCTTACATGGTATAGGGTGACATGCGTTCGCCCCCGGGTACATGTATCATAAGATTACACGGCGATTTGGTGGCTTTGGAATGACTCTTGGCACGTTCGAGGACGAACGTATGTTTAAGTGGGGGAGAATGTAACGACCCAGTCGGTCATTTTGAGCATTTGCATTCCGTTCAGCTATTTGAAGTCTTGAGAAGCATCATATGATGTATTATAACTTATGTGAATCGTCGGTTTTGGTTTCCTGGTTATTCGGAATTGGTTTGGAAGAATGATTCTCAACTAGGAAGCTTTAAGTTGGAAGAATTGACCAAGTTTGACTTTGGAGTATTTGACCTCAGATCGGAGTTTTGATGGTTCTGTTAGGTCCGGATGCTGATTTTGGACTCGGGTGTATGCCCGGAATTGCATTTGGATATTTCTAAAAGGTTTCCACACTAATTGGTAAAAGTTGGAAATTTGAAGGTTTGGAATTTTCATAAGTTTGACCGTGAGTCGACTTTGATGATATCAGGTTAGTTGTGGTTCCGGGAATTGGAATAGCTTCGTTATGTCATTTGGGACTAGTGTGCAAAATTTGAGTTCATTCCGGGTTGATTTGTTATGTTTCGGCGCGAGTTTTGGAAGTCGAAAGATTCAAAGTTCATTATATTTGATTTGAGGTGCGATTCATCGTTTCGTTGTTGTTATGCGTGATCTGAGGCATTGAGTAGGTCTGTCTTATGTTATGAGACTTGTTGGTATGTTCGGACGGGGTCCCCTGGGGCTCGAGCGCGTTTCGGAACATTTTTCTTCATGTTTTAATTGCTGGTTGCTGCTGGTTTCTGGTGCCTCGATTGTTCTTTGCGATCGCGAAGATGTGTATGCGATTGCGTAGAGGAAATTTGGAGCTGGGGCGTTTTCTTCATCGCAGTCGCGATTGGATGGTTGCATTCGCGTAGGGCTGTGTGGGTTATTGTTCGTGTTCGCATGATGGGCACTGCGGTCGCGTAGAGCAGAGATGAGAAACTGGGAGCTGGAAATTCTTCAACGCGTTCGCATAAGAAGGTATGCGTTCGCGAAGCTTGGTCACCTGTGTGCTTTACGTTCGCATGGGTATTTTCGCGATAGCGTAGCGTATTGTTGGAGGAAGTGTTGTTTGTCCTTCGCGATAGCGAAGGTTGTTACGCGATCACATAGAGTAATTTTGGGCATTGCATCTTTCTTCTTCGCAATTGCGATTCATTGATTCGTCCAGTGATTATAAAGTACTTTATTTTGGAGGTTTCGGCCATTTTTGCATATTTGGAGCTATGGAGCTCGGATTGGGACTATTTTTGAAGCGATTTTTACCATATGGATTGGGGTAAATGTTCTCTACTCGCTTTGAATTTTATTTCATGAATCTATCTTTGTATTTGGCATTTGATTGAGGATTTCAAGAGAGAAATTGGGGATTTTTGTTTAAAGTTTCATAGAGTTAATTTTGAGTTTTCAACATCGATTCGGAGTCATATTTGAGTGAAACTAGTATGATTGGACTCATAATTGAATGAGTTGTCTGATATTGTGAGTTTTGTCGGATTTCGAGGTGCGAGCCCGGGTTTAACTTTTTGGTTGACTTTTGGGCTTTTGAGTAAAGATTCGACCTTTATCAATTGGATTTATTTCTTTAGACATTATTTGATGTATTTGAGTTGCTTTTGGCTAGTTTTGTGCCGTTCGGAGATCGGTACGCGCGGGATGGTATTTTTAGAGTATTGTTTGGCTTGCTCAGTATTGGGTTTGGCTTGTTCGAGGTAAGTAACACTTCTGAACTTGGTGCTCAGGGTATGAATCCTTGAAATTACGTGCTATGTGATCGGTGCTGAGGTGACGCACATTCTAGGTAACGGGCGTGTGAACGTGCACCATAGTAATTGTGATTCAGTCAATTCTGTGGAACTGTATAGCTATCTTATCTGAATATTATTATTGTACCCTATGTGTTAGAGCACTTGAGCTATGATTTATGTTAGAAATTATTTTTAGGCTATGTGCTGGTGCTATTGTGACCCACAATAGTCATTCTTTGTTGTTGAGTTATTTGCTTAATTGCAGTTATGTACTCAGTAGCATTCATCAGTGCATATCATATCTCAGTCTCTATTATCATACATTGTCACATTATGTATCATTGATTGGGCAACTTAGCATGAGTGTGGTGAGCCCGAGAGACAGGAGAGATTGATGAATGAGTGAGGCCGAGGGCGTGTTTGTGAGTGATATTTATGGGATCAGGCTGTACATCGCAGCAGGCTTTATTAGTTCAAGCCATGATTGGCATAGCGCTTGGGCTGGATCTGCCCCTCCGAAGTCTGCATACCCACAGTGAGCGCAATTGCTATTGATTCACGATGGGTCGGTTGTACTCATACTACACTTCTGCACCTTGCGTGCAGATTTGGATGCTGATGTTGCTGTGTATAGCGGGAGCTGGCATTGAAGATGTACCTGTGTTCTGGTCATAACTGCCTCTTGTTCTTGGTAGTTTTAGAATTATTACTCTGTTCATGTATACTTCAAATAGATGATGTATTTATTTTATTCCAGATTTGTAAACTCTAAATCTTAGAAGCTAATGTTTTGTACTTCCAGTCATTGAGAATTTTTTGTATAGAAGTTGAATTATATCATCATTACATTTCTCAGTAAATCTCAACGAATTGGATGATTGTTGCTAATTGACTTACCTAGTGGGTTGGGTTAAGTGTCATCACAACTAATTAGATTTTGGCTCGTGACAGAACAGTTCTAGTCCCATAAAAATTGCGAAAGAAAAGAACATATATATCGCCTTTCATGTAAATAGTATAAAATATTTTTAACTTCTCACTATATAAAGTAAAACTCTTTTGTTCTTTTTGGTACTACCACTGCTTTAGTTATATGTCATGGCTTGAAATCCGACCATGCATTGTAGTGAATGCTATTTTTCGCTAAGGGGGCTGCAGTATATCACTCCAAATCTACTTAATTTGGTGACATGAGACATCAATTTCTTATGACGTTCCACCTAGAGCAGGGGTTCCATATAAATTTCTTGATTAGGTGATGAGTGTCAATATTTGGAAGTTGCAATACCAAATAACCTTTCTACATTTCTGAAAAGAATATTGGGTAGCTTATCTATTAGTTGAGAGGAAACAAATAAACAAATATTAGACCATATATCAATTATCATGAAAGCATCAAACATGTCGTGGCTTCCAAATAATACATTATTATTGGATTTGTTGCATAGAACATTATGTTAATTCGCCAACCTTGATAGACATGGAAAACGACCTTATCATATGCCAACTAATTTAAATTACACACATCGTGGCAACCACTTTATATTTTTCTCTCTTCTTCTTATTCTTCGTTTACTAATTTTCATGTTTCATTTATTCTTTGTTGATGAACATATATAGTACTAGTACTCCTCGTCTCTTTACGTGCAACAAGAATTCATTCAAATTCTCTTGTTTGATTTGATCAAATGGGTTCGAGTTCAGAAAAATTCCAAGGGAAGAAATCATTAGTTTCCCTTGTGGATTCTGCTGCCAATTTGTTGAGAGAGCCATTTCAATTTTTTACAACTATTCTCCTTAGCCTTTTATTTCCTCTCTCATTTCTCATACTTTCTAGGCTCTCAATTGCACATTATCTCATTGACCTTTTAGGCTATTCCACTGAAGAAACAGATTCTGATCTCCTAATCAAATTCTTCCTTCATGCCAATCCCACTTTTCTCCATATACTTGTTTCTCTTGTCAGCGTTGCTGCACTTACACATAGCTTGACGGGTGGTACTTCGTGCTTCATCAGGCGTACCACCGAGCCAGTTTCAAGACCGCGACTTTACACTGCGTGGATTTTCCTTTGCATATTGCAAATTTGTGTTGGCTTAGGCATCGAAGGTAATGTTGGAAATATAATCTTTAATATTCTTGAATTACAAAATGCATTTTGGTGTTTCCCATTTCACTTATAGGATATTTATAGTGGTTGCATTAGGGTAGGCTGTATGAAATATCCTTTGATGCGGTCCTTTCCCGAACCCTGCGTGAACAAGGATGCCTGCACCGGGCTGCCCTTTTTTTTTTGTTATAGGATATCTATGTGCAAAGTTGTACTATGCTATCTCGGTACAAAATCCACATATAATATGTATATAACTATGTATAATCAGTATATAATTCATATACCGACTAGGAAAAGTAAATAGTGAATCTATAGGATATTTATAGTGGTTGCATTAGGGTAGGCTGTATGAAATATCCTTTGATGCGGTCCTTTCCCGAACCCTGCGTGAACAAGGATGCCTGCACCGGGCTGCCCTTTTTTTTTTTTGTTATAGGATATCTATGTGCAAAGTTGTACTATGCTATCTCGGTACAAAATTCACATATAATATGTATATAACTATGTATAATCAGTATATAATTCATATACCGACTAGGAAAAGTAAATAGTGAATCTAGTTGGCTCTTGTGCCTTATAATATTTTAATGAGGAGCTTAATTTATATTGCAACAGGTAGCATAGCTGCTGGAGTAGATGGCCATGATCTTGGTAACAAAAGGGGATTCTTGACAAGAGCTATATTTTTCTTGGGGTTACATGAAACAATGTTTTTTTGGTCCAAGACAGTGGTGAAGCCAGTGGTAGATGACACAGTTTTTGGTGTTGCAAGGGAAAATAGACTGGCTGAAAAGGCAGCATTGGCAATGAGTTTTGGTGGGCTGTGGTGGTGGAGATTGAGGGATGAAGTTGAGTCTTTAGTTGTTGTGGTGGAGAAAAAAAGAGACCTTTTGATTAGTATTGGATTGGTTGATTTTGTTGGTTGGTGGTTGTATTATTTAACTGTTACAATTGGTTTGATCAAAGTGGTGAAAAGTCTCATTTGGGTAGTTTACGTAATGTTTGGTAGAAGAGTTGTTGTCCCTAGAGTTGTTGACACAGAGAATGCCGGTGATTCTGTGAGAAATGATGAGAAGGTCTGAATATGACATTCTTTTGCTCTGTTTTTTAATTTTTGTTAAAAAGAATTGAATATTTGTTCATCAATTGTAATATATTATCCTCTAGTTGGTCAACGACGCTCAATTATGAACGTTGATTGAGAGGGAAACTCTTTTTTCTTTTGTGTAATTTTGTTCCCAGTAAGTAAACGCAGATTCACATTTTTTTCCTCGGGGAAAGATGCACCGCAACATCGAAAAATTTGTATAGATTGATAGTTTAAAGAATTTTACACTATTAGTATATTTTAACTTGTTGTAACATGTTGCATATTTTATTTTTCAGTGTACTAATCTCAGACGAAGTTAAACTCCAAATAAATTATGAGATTAACGTTGTTATGCATTTGGGTATACCATACATTCCTCAAAGCTAATTAAGTTGTTAGAGATCGTTTTGTCCAAGGCAATTGAACAAACAAAAAACAAAAGCTTTAAATTATGATAACATCATGTACTTCAGAAGCAGTATGGGATACCTAAATCTTAACTACTTGGTAAAATTATTGGGTGTCTAAACCAAACATGATGATGATATATAGCAAGACAAAAAGGATCATAATCAGTCCATTTATCGGAGCGAAGAAATCAAAGTACCGCTAAAATTTGTGATAACGATGTAAATGAGAAAACATTAATATGTATATATCCATTTGTAAATTGGTTTTCTTTTATTGTCCTGCCCCGATGTAAGAGACTAATTGTATATTGTTTGCGCTTACTCCACTTTAAGTGATTTTTTCATTGTTAACTATGAATTCCTTAATATGTGTGAAAAGAGCCAAAAAAATCACTTAAAGTGGAGCGAAGGGAGTAATATTTTACATTTTAAACATGTCAATCACTCAATTTTCTTATGCTCTTATCAGTTTCTAATTGTCTTGTGCATCTTGTCCACATGCATGTATTCCTTAACTAATCAAACATCTCCACGCCATGATGTGGCCCTCGTTCGAAGTTTCTTGAAAAATAAAATCCATAGGAAGGAGTCTAGTCTTTTACCTTGACTCTTCTTCTTGTCCATGCCATGGAAACATCATATTGCACCAATATTTTATAGTACTATGTTTCCTCTATGGCCAGGTTATATTTTGGCTCGCAGAGTTCACTTTCATTACTCTCAAGTTTTGTAATATGTCATTCAATCTAATTCTTAATTTGCTATATCTACCCCTAATCAAATGAATGTTACCATAGCCATAAAAAGATCAATATCCAAGCAAATTTGTCCTGGAATTGGGACCATGGCTAATGTCTCAATCTCAAATGATAATTTTACTGATGAGCACTTTAGAAATGAATTAGTGGTCGAAGATCCTTGGTTTGAACTTGAAGATTGTGCAGATATTCATTCGGTTTATTCCATGTGCAATGAAGAGAATACATCTAATGAACAAGTTACAACCAACTTATTCCAAGATCAGCAACAAAGTATATCAAATTGGATGCAGAGTCAGTTCTCCACCAACACACACCAAATCCAATCCAGTATTGAAGAACCAAAGAATGATGATTTCCAGCCTCAAGTCCTACAACTTATCGGCAACTCTAGCAATGAAAGATCAATTCCGTTTTCTTTAGCATCCTTTGAGCTACTGAATAATTATGGCAGACTGATCAAGAAATCGAGCGAGGAAAACTTGAGCATTAATAATGCGCTAACCTATGAGGCTCGTGCATGTAACAACCACAAGTTGTCAACGGAAGAAACCCTGAAGGTTGCTGGAGAAAGGTATCACGTGACCATCTCATCAAAAAGTTCTAGATGTTAGACGACCTCTGCATACTCTGATACCATTTTAAAGTGTTTGACTATCTCATTTAAAAGTTAAAAATATTAGAGAAAACATACTTTTAATTACTTAATTATATTATGTCTCAACAGGTACATCCAGTACTCCACCCAAAAGCTAGACGGTCTTTCTCTGTTTATGCACCCTTATGGTTCAGCACTCTCAGGACTTAGTATAGAGGAAACAAGGGACATGGAGCTTGTCCACCTCCTACTATCTGCAGCAGAAGAAGTAAATAACCAGCAATTTCATCTGGCTAGAAAATTGATTTCTCGTTGTATGTGGGTGGCATCTGAATCAGGTAATCCCGTTCAGAGACTTTCTTTCTATTTTGCTAAGGCTTTAGAAGAGAGGATTGATCGCGCAACTGGAAGATACACATGTACGGATGAAGATCGCCACCTCAAGTACATAAAAACTATGGCATTAGGTACCAACTCTGCATTCTTGATCTGCCACCAATTACTTCCCTTCAGTCAAGTGATGCAATTTGCAGGAGTTCAAACAATACTTGAAAATGTCAGAAGCGCGAAAAAGATCCATTTGATCGACTTTAATATTAGGAGTGGAATTCAGTGGACAGTCATGATGCAAGCTCTTGCTGAAAAAAGTGACTACCCAATTGAGCTTCTCAAGATAACTGCAGTTGGAAGCACAGAAAAAGAGAAGTTTGAAGTAACAGGCAACACATTACACAGTTTCGCCACGTCTTTGGGTCTGTCATTTTCATTTGATATAGTTTTCCTGTCAGACATGAAAGATTTCAAGAAAGAATCAGTCAATATTGAACCAGATGAGACTGTGGCTGTTTATTGTAACACTGTTTTAAGGACAATGATACCAAAACCAGATTGTTTGGAAAATTTTATGAAAGTAGTCAGAAGCATTGGACCAACAGTTATTGTTATTGGCGAAGTCGAAGCAAACCATAATTCACCATCATTTTTAAACCGCTTTATTGAGACACTATTCTTTTATGGTGGATTTTTCGATTGTTTTGAGGAGTGCATGGATCGAGACAGTCCATGTCGAAGAACGATTGAAGGGTTGTATTTTGGTGAAGGTATTCGGAACATTGTGGCTGCTGAGGGTAAGGAAAGATTCACCAGGAATGTGAAACTTGAAGTATGGAGAGCATTCTTTTCAAGGTTTGGTATGGTGGAAGAAGAGTTTAGTGAGTCAGCTTGGTATCAAGCTAATCTAATTCTCAAGCAATTTGCCCAAGGCAGTTGTTGTAATCTTCACAAGGATGGGAAAGGCCTCATTATCGGGTGGAAGGGAACACCAATTCATTCTCTTTCCATTTGGAAGTTCTTGTGAGGAAGAGAAGTTGGTCTTGTTGAGGAAACAAATAGGATTTTTGCTTTGCTCAGTTCATTTGTATACCATCAACATTCTGTAGCTGGTATGACTATTAGGCATCTCCAAGCTAAGTCTAGAATTTTGCTATTAAATTCATATGTGGGGGACAGAGGGCTCGTGGTATCTGCTGCCCACCCTTCCTTCTATGTTTTGAGAACCGCTAACAGGTGCAGAAGAAAAGGAGGTCCTCATACAAAGCTGCATGCGCGAGAGACTGAGTTGGGGCGGTTAATTACTACTCTTACCCTTTAGCTAGGGTGTTTAACACAGAATTTCATTAGACACCTGTGATTAGGCCTGAAAATATGAAGAGAAAATTTTGAGTCCTATGACTCCTAAATGTATAACCTCATCCTGAATGTCATACTTCTGGTTTATCCTTTTACCATTGAACCCAAATCTCCCGTGCACGCAAGGCCACTTTTTCTTTTCCCATTTTTTAAATCACAATGAATGAATTAATGAACAACCTATTGAATAGAATATAAAAGATAACCATGACTTCCACAAGAACAGACAGAAATCCAAAGTATCAGCATTGTATCAGCCATTCATCCATGCAGTTCTTTGCTTAAAGAAATTTGTTTGAGGGAGGCCTTGTTAATATCGTGCACAGGTTCTTGTCTTTTTTTTTTTTTTTTTTTTTTTTTGGTGAGATGTCCATTTGATTGTCTCGGATTCATGTATAGGTGGTCTTACATTTTCTACAATTGTTATCTACCTCAATTGTTATTCGCATAGTATGTCACCATCTCATTTTAGAAAATGACTATCTAACAAAAGTAGAGTATGTCCTATTGTAAGTAGGCTGAATTTCTTAAGAAGGTCTTAAATCACAACATAAACCACATTGTCCTTAGTGCCATGTCTTGTTTTATCTCTTCCTTATATTCTTATCAAAACTCCAGAAAGCCAGTTATATTACCTCGTCGTCTTAATCACAAAAATAAACATAAATTTTTCTAGATGATAATGATAATAACTATTTGCAATTAACTCATATTGCCAATCTTTTAGAGGTTTATGTCATCATCTGTCAAAATACTAAATTAAGCCGTATATGCTCTTCTTTTATGAAGGGTTAATCTGTCAAAGTTTTCAAGCTGCTGTAATTTATAGTAATTATAAACTTAGAATTTGAGAAAAACACAAAGATAACCTTAGTGGATCAGGAGGCACTTGCAAATTACCATATGGCCAATCCCTCGTTCCATCTTGCATCATTCACTTCCAACCAAATCCCAGGTAGCGATAGTTCTCTCAGAGGCTGTAGAGATGATACTGCAAAGAGTTACAACCAATTATCAGTTATGGAGGACTCCGCAGATATTCAGAACTTCTGCACCAACTCTGGTTTCTATCAAGAATATGCAGTCAATCCACAAGTACAAGAAATGAATAAACAGCAAGAAGAAATGAATGTGTATGCAGTTACTCCACAAGTACAAACAGGAAGTCATGTGGACAATACACCTTTTTTATATCTGGCTCCTTTTGAACTGCTGAGGAACAATCCAAGCAGGTGCAAGAATACTGAAGGAGATAAAGTTAGAAATATGAACAACAGAACCAACGCGTACCAGAAGCTCTCAGCGATGCAAATCATGAGGCTAGCTGGAGAAAGATTCATCCAGTTCTCTTCTAACAAGTTCATTAACATAAATAATCTTCTCCATCCGTATGGTTCTGCTCTCTCGAACCTTTCTCAAGAAGATAATCAAGACGTAGAACTTGCTCAAATCCTCCTAGCTGCAGCTGAGAAAGTTTCTGACCAACAATATGACCGCGCAAGGAAAATGCTGAGTCAGTGCCAACCCCATGCATCGAACACAGGTAATCCTGCACAAAGAGCAGTCTTTTATTTTGCACAAGCGCTTGAAGAGAGGATAGATAGAGAAACAGGAAGGTTAATGCCAAAACCCCGTGTGGAAAGAGATGGCAGTATCTGTATAGCATCAAGATTCGACGCCTCACACCTAGAATTTCATCAAGAAGTTCCATTCACCCAAGTGGTACATTTCACAGGAATTCAAGCCATGCTAGAAAGTGTAGCAACAAAATCTAAAGTTCACCTTATCGATTTCCTCATCAGGACGGGCGTACAGTGGGCATCCTTGATCCAAGCAGCAGCAGAGCGAAAAGATAATCCAATTGAACATATGAAAATCACAGTTATTGAATCAGTAAATAAAGAAAGAGTAGAGGAAACAGGCAAGTCTTTAGAGAGCTTTGCTAAGTCCTTGAACTTTCCCTTGTCTTTCAAGATTGTCTTTTTACCAGATAGAAACCAACTGACAGAAAATCACTTTGACATAGAACCTGATGAAGGATTAGTAATTTATGCTGCATTCTTTCTGAGGGCAATGATCTGTGAACCTAACTGTTTAGAAACTGCAATGAGAGTTGTAAGAAAGCTGCAGCCAGAATTAATGGTAGTCTCAGAAGTAGAGGCAAATCTGAATTCACCTATGTTTGTGAATCGTTTCATAGACTCTTTATTCTATTACAGTGCATTCTTTGATTGCCTGGAAGATGTAATGAAGAGGGATGATCAACACAGGATGACACTAGAATCAGTGACATATGGAAGCGGGATTTGGAACATAGTAGGAAGTGAAGGAAAAGAAAGGGTGTGTAGAAGTGTGAATCTTGATGTGTGGAGAACATTCTTTAAGAGGTTTGGAATGGAAGAAGTAAAGCTGAGTGAGACATGCTTGTATCAGGCTAACTTGATTATTCAGCAGTTTGCACGTAGGAATTCTTGCAGTGCAGATGTAAATGGAGGGTCTCTCACAGTCAGCTGGAAAGGGACTCCAATCTATTCCACTTCTGCTTGGAAATTCCATTGAGGTTTTTGGCAAACTTTAATTTGTAAGGATGAGTGCATTTGCTTTGTGTGAATTAGACCTTTTTTGCTAGACCCGTTCCTGAATGATGAGTGTATTTGAGTGAACAAATTAAGTTATAAATGCTCATCATATAGTGTAAAGAACTAGTATTATATATAGTGTACTCCTATCATTTAGATAATTAGATTTGTGTGTATCACAGCTGTTTCTCTTGCATAATTTCTTAAACTCGGTTTCTGCAAACAGAATTATCTTCATTTAAATAAGAATGAGAATTTTTCAATTTGCAGCTTCTATAGGAGACCTTTAAAGCTTCAACCAATTGTTCATATTGCTACCTAAGGTGGTAAACAAGAATTATTTTCTTGTTTTTGTATCAAGATTTTGGTTTTAGGTTAGGAACCTATTGAATATTCTTGTTCAAAAATAAAAATTAAGCTACATTTGCAGAAGGTTTCTTTACAGCTAGTTTGGATGGTTGTTATGTATGGTTTCATAATATATCATATGGTATTGTACTGTATTGTTTTGATGTATACAATGTTTGGATATATTATATTGTTTGCCGTCGTTTCATGATGTCATGCACCAACAATACGAAGAATAAACTTGCAAATTATAAAGAAAAAGTAAGGTACGAGATAATATTATTATATAAAAAGGTAGGGTAAAGGATAAAATCGAATTATTTAATAATAAAAAGGGGCAAAATGGGGAAAAAATTAGGTAACGGCGTGACCACGCCAAATCGGTCGTTCCATAAGGCGATACAATAAAATTTAAGTAACAATCGAAATATTGTATTTAAAGTAACAATACGATACAATACACCAGGTAACAACTATTCAAACAAGCTGTTAGTAAAACTAAAACATTATCAATTTGTACCTGGATAATTCCATCTGGGTCACATGCGCTAAACATAAATTGGCAGTTGAAGTTTATTTAAGGCAAGAAATGGTGGTAAACTTTGCCATTTGTTGAACCAATAAAAGAAGGGTTCTTCAGCAAACCGTTAAATTTGTTTCTCAAAAATCACTGAAATGTAGAGTTATATTATTTTGGTCCATGAAATATCTTTATTATCCTTGCATAAGCAACAATTAACAACTCATTCCAGTTCCATACTTGGAATTGAAAATTTGAGATTAGAGCACTTCCATTTGTTTTAAAAGGCTGTTCTGGGCTCGCTGTGGGGCGGGACACTATCAAAATGCCTTGAGGCTCATATATGGGGCTTAGTTATGTGAGGCTTACGCCCCCAAGCGCCAGACTTGTGCCCTAAACACGCCTAACGCTCAACACTCGGGACTAGCCCAACAGTTTCTATGCAACTCATGTGTTGAATTCACTAATTAGCACTGTTGACTCTCAAAATTCTTTAACGAATGAATGATTAAAGTTCTTTTTACCTATAGAATATGAAAATTGTGAATTACTCAAATAACGAACCATAGTATTGCATATTTACTAATTGAGAACATCGAGAGGGTGACTTTTAATTTATGGATTGAACTATTTCCTTGTATTTTTAGGAAACCCATAATCTCTATAGGTTTAGGAAAATTCATTGTCCTAATAGATTTGGGAAAGGAAAATCTATTGTCTTCTCCTATAGGTTTTGGACTATTTGGGATATATATATATATATATATATATATATGGATTGTACTTAGGGATTCTATAGATTGTATTGTGCTTTTCTTCTCATTCATAGTGGAAAACTCTCTCTGCTTCTGCCCCGAGGATTACGCTTAGCCGAACCTCGTTAAATCCTTGTGTTGACTTTTCTTCTCTATTTTTGTGTGTGATTGTGTGCTAGTTAACCCACGATGTTTCGCAATAATTGGTATTAGAGCAAGGTGCAGGTTTCTACATATAATCTAGAGTTAAGATGTCTTCATCACCTTCAACAAAGTACGAAGCAGAAAAATTTGACGGGGGGTTCTAGTTTCAGTGTATGAAAGATTAGGATGAAATCGTCCCTGGCATTACAAGGGTTATGGAAGGCAATTGATGAGGATTTTCCTAAAGAGATGAAAGATATATAGAAGGAAGACCTGAAGGAAAGAGCTTTGAATGCGATCTTCATGAGCGTTACAGATAGCGTTCTTCGAGAAATTGCTGAAGAAACTTCTGTAGTAATGGCATGCAAGAAGCTGGAAGATCTGTATTCTAAGAAATCGCTGGCAAACCGCCTCTACCTGAAAAAGAGGTTATATAATCTCCGTATGAACGAAGGTACACCTGTTAAAACTCACATTGATGAGTTTAATTCAATTATAATTGACCTGAAGAACGTGGATATCAAAATTGAGAGTGAGGATCAGGCCTTGATAGTGCTATGTTCTTTCCACCGTCATATGATACTTTTGCCGATACGCTGCTACATGGGAAAGACAGTATTTCACTGGAAGATGTTAGTAATGCACTAAAATCTAACGAGTTGAAAAAGAGCTTTCAGGACAGAAGAATTGAGGGTGAGGGTCTTGTGAGTAGAGGAAGACAGGGGCATCCGCAGGACTTTTTGTAAGCGGTGTCAAAATTTAAAGAGGTGAACAACTTATTACAATAAATATGGGAGATACGAAATAGAGAAGAGCAACACCATCAAACCCTGTCACCTAGAAATTACGAGTTATAGAGGATGAGAACTTTTTCGTAGTTATGGTTTAAAATTCTTTTATCTTATTGTAAAATAATTACTTTTAGAAGTTAAATGGTATTTCTTTATCACTTATGGTGTCACGGAAGAGGACACAATTCTATTTTTAAACAAAAGAGGCTTAAAAGAAAAAAATGCAAAAAAAAATGCATACAAAGTATTCGAACTGTAGACCTCGAGGTTGCAAGGAGGCGCTTAACCATCACACTACACACTATCTTTTGTTCAGCAGTACTGTCATATGATTTATACCTATACCTTTTGCACAATGTTTATATGTGCAATAACTAAAGTTTTCCGGCGAAGCGGTGTCGGATGACACCGCTTGGACTAGGGTGCATCCTCCCCTGGAGGAAGAATACAATAAAATGACTTTAACGGGAAAAAATCAACTGCCAGATCAAAGTCTAGAGCAAGGTCATTACAAGAGAGATTGTCTTAAGCTGAAGGAGAAAAGAAGGAAGCAGAAAATAGATAATTCGGCAGATATTATTGACACTGACAATAATTCTGATGTAGTGACTATGTAGGGGAAGTCTGTGTTGTGAGTTCTAGTCATGATAGAATTCTTGGGTTCTTGATTCTTGTGCTACTTTCCACATGTGTCCACACAAGACTTGGTTTGCAACTTACAAGTAGGGGTGGGCATATATCGAGTAAAATCGATAATCCGAACTGTTAATGTAACGACCCGACTGGTTGTTTTGCTTTTTAGAACCCCGTTCCCCCCAAATAAAACTTTCCGTGCTTGCTTTAACTAAATTACGACCTGCGGGATGGTGGTTCGGGATTTGGAAGAATTTGGGTTGATATATGCTCATTTGATTCCTTAAGAATTTCTTAAGAGGCTAGTTTGACTTTGGTCAACATTTTTAACAAACGGGCCCGGATTCGTATTTTGACGGTCGGAGGATCTGTGGGAAAATATGGGACCTAGGCGTATGCTCGGAATCGAATTCCGAGGTCCCTAGGTCGAGTAATAAATTTTTATTAGAAATTGTTAAACTGAAATTCCAAGGATTTAAAGAAACTAAATAATGATTGATCACGTTGGTATCAGGCTCGTGGATTGGTTCTGGAGCCCAGTACAAGTCCAATATAATATTTAAGACTTGCCTGCAAAAGTTGGTGTCAATGCGAATAGTTTAAGTGCGTTTCGGCTCGTTAGAGGAGAATTAAGAACTTGAAGTTCATAAGTTTGATTCAATTGGTTTTAAGGGGGCGATTCTTAGATTTAGCGTTGTTTCGGGCGTTCCGAAGGTTCGAGCAGGTCCGTTTCATGATTTCGGACTTGTCGGTATGTTCGGACGGGATCCGGGAGCCCCGAGCGTCAAACTGACGAGGCTCGAGTGAAGTTGAAAAAGTTGGGAAGTGCTGAAGCTGTTGCTTTTGTCATAACCGCACCTGCGGTTGGTCGGTCGCAGGTGCGGGACCGCAGAAGCGGTCGTTCCCTCGCAGATGCGGTCGTTCCCTCGCAGATGCGGCCAAGGCTGGCCAAGCCCAAAATCGCAGAAGCGGCTCCAAGACCGTAGGAGCCGTCCCAGCCCATTTGGCCAACGTCCGCAGATGCGGTCTCTTCCTTGCAGATGCGGGACCGAAGATGCGGAAATCGCTGAAGCAGTGAGCTTCATTTATTACGGGTTCTAAGTTGATTTGGCCATATTTCACCCTTCCATTGGGCGATTTTAGAGCTTTTGAGAGAAGACCTTCACCTAGCATCTTGAGGTAAGTTTATTCTACCTATTTCTAGTTTAATACTCGTTTCTTAGATAGATTAAACACTAGAATTAAGGTGAAATAATGGGGTTAGAGCAAAAACCTAGGGTTTTGACAAAAGTTGGATTTGACCACGGAATTTGTTATGAAATGAATTAGAAATCATATATTATTGATCCTTGGGTTATGACGAACAACTTCCCTTGAAAAATTTCGGAATCCGGGCACGTGGGCCCGGGGTCGGATTTTAGGAAACTTGTGTTTAAGGGTAGAGAATTGCTTAAATAGTTAGAATATGATCTTGTAAATTTGTATTGACTAGTTCCTACCTCGTTTATCTAGTTTTGGATCGTTCGGCTCCAAATTGAGAGTTCAGGCTCATTCTTGGTATTGGAAGTGTACTTTGGAGCGAGGTGAGTCTCCTATCTAACCTTGTAAGAGGGAATTGTCCCCATATGTGATGTAATCTAATAATTTGCTATTAAATGCGAGGGCTACGTATGCACTAGGTGACGAAAGTCTGTGCGTAGCTACTATTGTGCTAAGTCCGGGTAGTTTAGGACCCAAAGGCATGCTTTATGTGGTATTCTTGCAACTCTATGTTTAATTAGGATTGTTT